AGCAACCTGTAAAAATATAAGAGTTACTCAACACTGAGTTTGACATAACAACAGCAGTAATCAGAATTCGAGCAACTAAAGTTCATCCAGCCATGTTAAAAAATATCGTCAGGCATTTAACACTGTCATGAGAAGAAAACTACTCAATAAAAAGACAAACTTTAGGGAGTCAGAGTGCCTTGTTAATAATCACACAACAGTTTCTTCCAGAATTCCCATGTCTCGATGGCCACTTATTATGCTAGCAACATTCGAAAAACGGCAGATAAACAGTTTGAATACCCTTAAATATCAACCTAGCTAAAAGATAAACAACCAGTGACTTTACATATGCTTTTCTTGTGGTCTGGAACTATTATACAGCCAATTTGTAACACAAATTAGGATAAGTATGCTCCAGCCATTATAGTTACTTTGCCAAACTAGATGACTCACAATCAACATCATCACAGCAACACATAGTGGACCATTTATGTGAAGAGGATAAATAAAAGCACAAAAATACATCTAAATAGATAACTGACGATACCTTCGGTGGCTTAAAAGGATAATCTGGAGGGAAGTGAATGGAAACTAAAAATACACCTCCAGAATATGGGCTGTCAGTAGGCCCCATAATTGTGGCTTGCCAGTGGAACATATCTTCAGCCACAGGACCTGCATTTTGTTAAATGGTAAAGGTTAAATAACACACCCAAAATATTACAGAGATTGTATAAATCTTGAACATAAAATCAACTTTGATGCCATTTTTAGCCAAGTGGAGACTGGCAGGCAGTTTCTGCCTTCAGAAACACACGTCTACAGAGGCGAAAATGCCACGCAATAAGTAAATCTATCATTCCAGCTTAAAAGAAAGAGTAGAAACATGCATCTGAACATCAACGTAACCATCTACATTCAACATAATAATTAAAAAAAAAGTACAAAGTCACAAATAGCATAACCAAGACTTTGCACGGACAACTAGAATCTAACCTATACGCTGTCAATTACTTTTGTTTAAAGTTTACTACATCGAATAACCACTAGGTGTAAGGTGTTAATTTATTAGTGCTTTACCCTCAAGCACAACTACCCAAGCAATCTGAACACAATTCAACTTATAAACCACCAAAATAATTCAACAAATAAAAAAAACCGGAAAGGGGCTCAACTATCAAACTCAGTACAGAACAACAATTATCTTCAGACAAGAAAACCTATGCAACAATTATAATAACTTCCCCACATAACATAACCAACCAGCACATAACAACTAATCTAGGACAAAGTCAACCAAGCTGTTTAGAACCACATAAACACGCACAATACAAACAAAATTATAGCTCATGGCTGACCAAAATAAAAGGAACAAAGTAAGATACATACAACAAACAATAAGGATAATAGAATACTATCAGATAGATTACCGGCACTGCAAGACGTCGGAGGGTCCCTCTGCAAGTCCTTAAGCTCCTTCAGTATCCTTTTCGACGCCATCAATAATAAGCACAGAAAACCTACACCCAACAACACAGAAAAACCACAACTATCAACGAGCACGGCAATTGCAAGATCCAAACCGTAAACATAAAAAAACAAAGCAATTGCAGAGATCCAAAACCAAAATCCACGAAGCCTCGATTACCCAAAACAAACACCAACACGATCGTTAAAAAGCACAAAACTCACATCAAAATTGAACCCGAAAAGAAACACCTGTTACCTGATTCAGGCCACAAGCGAGGTCAACGACGAAAGAGATGTCAGAACAGCAGAATACGCGGCCAATCACGAGAATCGGAGGAATGGATTGAGATGGGGAAAGGGGTTACTTATAATGGGTCAGATTCGATGAGGATAAGTTCTAGAATTTTCGGTGCGCGGCTCATTTCGCGTGCAATCAACGCTATTTCTTATAAGCTTTTGGTGTATTTATTTGACCAGTACAATTCCCTTGTATTAAGCAAGTATTTGTTAAAAAATATTATTATTTTAATTTTAATATTAATATTTTTTATTTCAAATACCTTTTAAAAAACTATATTACTGTATATATAAAAATCACTTATTCGGTTTACCATCTTATATTATAATATTTTTTAAATTACATCATTTAAAAACTTTGTAGTTAAATTGAGTTAAAATTTATTTTTTAATTAATATTAATAGATAATCTAATTTTTATTATAGATAAATATAACTATTTATTTATTTTGTCTGTACAATATGTGTCAATTTGAAGCTCATGAAAACATTATTAATTTGATATTTTATGTATAAAAATTTGATAATAAATAAAAAAAATTGTTAACTTTTAAATCTACGTATAATTTAAATTAGTATTTTTTTTCATAATTTTTAAAAGAAATATGAGAAAAAAAAAGATATATTGAGGAAACAAATTTATGCTTTATAAATCATGTCTGGAAAAAAAAATTAATATTAATACTCTTACAAAAGACCATAAATATCTATTATATTTATGGTTATTTCAAACCTAATTATTTTTGGATTTAAAAGTAAACTAGTACAGAGCCCGTGCGATGCACGGGGTGCACAATTTTAAGGCTATTTATTCAGGCTTATAATTATATACATGAATAAAGAAAAATGTACGGGATATATATAGTACGTGACCGTGCAAAACACGCGATATATTTATTTGGAGAATATTATATTTTAAGATGCAATATTCAATAAAAGTTTATAATACGCAAGAAAATTGTATTATGTTCAATAAGAGTTTTATAATATTCAAGTGGAGTCTTAAAGTCTCTTGTACATTAAGACTACTAACAAAATAATATTTTAGATCAATGAGTTTCCTTTCCTTGTAGCCAAATTGTGAATGTGATTTGAGGAGTACAACAAATCAATATATACCTGACTTGCTTTTTCATTGTAGTTTTTTTTCTTTTTTTATAATGAATTTAAAGATATTCTAAAATATAGGAAAAATTAATTTATTTATTACAATTAGGAATTTTACTAAATATAAACTCTCAATCTATGGTGTTAATCAACGTTTAAGTCTAAAAAATTAAAAAATTTTACCTCTTTTAATCAACGTTTAAGTTTAAAAAACAATAGAGTTATTATAAGTTTTTTTTCTACATCTTTTAAAACATTAGATATGAGCATGTTAGGGCTAGCTTGTAAAATAATTAATATATTATCTCACTAAAATATTTATATTAATAAAAATTTAATTTTAGCATATAAATTTATCCCTTGATATAAGAGAAAGTAATAGTTTTACTTATTGTTGTTCACCATATAATATTTAATTATTATATTATTATATAATAAAAAAAATATTGTTAAATAGTGTAGTAGAATTGTTATAAAATTATATGATTTTTTTTTTTTACAATATGGATTTAATATTTTTTTATGATTTGATAATATAAACAAATCTATACTTAACCTTGACAAATAAAACAAATAAATACTTTAGTAAGTATTTAATGTATATATACTAAATAAGAATATATTTGGTATAATCAAATACCAAATATAATCAAATAAGTCAAAGTGTACATTTTTATTTGGTATTTGATTTTTTTATTATTAAAATCTTTTTGTTATACTTACCTTTTTAAAATAAAACAAATAAATAAATCAATTAAATAAATAAAATATTATAATACCAATATAGTAATGACATTTAATGCAGTTGACTTTTCTGGATAGTAAATATAGGAAATAGAATCTCCTTTTATAGAAGTATAGATTGTATAATACGGAAATAGTAATGCAATAAATGTTGTTGACTTTTCTTTATACTAAATCTGGTAAATGGTATACCTTTTAATATAAGTATAGATTAAAATTCATCCTAGTCAAATGACAAAGCATATATATTCACTCTGGAAATTATACCCTCTATGTGAGATTAGTGGAATTTTGAGTTTGTATTTAAAATATATTAAAATATAATGATTAAAAGTAATATAAAGTAAAAGTAGGAAAGAGATTTTTGGGAATGAGATGTACTTAAAAATATGTGCGTATATAAATAATGTATTATAACTGACATGATATGTCAAGAAAATTGATTGATATTATTGTATTATATTAATAATATTGAAGAGAGATGAATCAGATTAAATTTGAGTTGTATTTGCAGTTAAAGGGTATAAGATTATTATCCAATCAGTCGAAACATGTTGATTTCTAGTCAATAGTTCTCTTAAGATTTTAGATAATCTATGAAATTTTGTTTTTAGATGTGAGTTTGGAAAGATTTATAGATAATACAAATTATAAGTTTGGAGGTGAGGTTTTTGGTAAAGATTTCTCAACAAATTTGAAAACGTCTTAACAAATTTCATCTCATTAAATACCGCATAATTTTGTAAATTTTTTATTAAAATTTCAAATAAAGCCTTTTCAAATTCTTAAAAGATCTAATAAGTTAAATACACCCTGCGTCGGGTCGGGTCTGTCATAAAATGGTGAATGTCGTTTTGTTTGATAATAAGGGTGGTTAGTGTTCTAATAGTGTTTTTGTTTTTAACAAATCAAAACTATTACAGTATAATAATATTATCATTATGTATATATAATAATTCGTAAAATCGATAAAAATTTAATATTTTTTCAACTCCACCAATAATGTTTTAGTTGAATGTGATTACGTAAATATCGTTTCCTAAGGTCGACAATAGCTCAACTCGACCTAAACTTGTAATTATTCAATTGAGTCAAAGTAAACACTCAAATGCTCGAATTCATTCATCGCATTTACATCGACACTCGTATGTGAACTGCAAATACAATATGGTTTTACTAAATAATAGGTTCATCTGATCTAATATAACTCCAACGGCATATCACATATGTTACTACTTTTATGTTAATTGTCTAATGATGTACTGGCATTTTTATTAATATAATTATCAAATAACAAAATGAGGATTTAGACAAAAAACTAAATTATGATAAGCTGGAAATTACAATCTGATTTATTGACAAAAGTGGAAAAAAAAAATGAGGAAAATAAAAGAGCTAAATAAATACAAAACTGAAATTAAACCCACATGAAAAATAAATAAATAGACAAATAAATTTACCAATAAAATTCATCCAAAAGATGTGAAGTAACATGAATTAACACGACGCTATTGTGTTAACATTTAATATATATCGCCATGTAACATATTTTCTAACCCAACTCTTAGCATTGTTGTCTGTCGGCTCTGATCAGCTGCAGAGAATAACAAAAATAAATAACTAGTAATTTTAATTACTACAATAAGTAGTTTAAAATACAACCATTTTTTTTTTACTTCCAAGTACAAAATTTTACTAGTTTACACATCCGTGTGACCAAGAGTTTATCGAGAACTATATTTGATTATTTTCCTGAGTAAAAGTTATGATTGGAAATAGATTATTTTGAAGAAAAGAAAATTATTTGATTGAATAAAAGAGTTGAAGAGTAAAAAAAAAAATGTTTAGGTAAAAGATTGAATTAATTTTGAATTTGTGAATGAATATGAGATAAATTATAGTGATTGAAGTAAATGTGATATAAATGACTAACAAAATAACGATTGTAATCGATTAATATTTCAAAATATGTGATTGGATGAACAACGAACTTTGTCGAAAAATGTATAGTAATGATTGGTTCTTTTTATTTAAATACACTGATAATACTGAAAACACCATACCCGATGGGACTCAATTTGGTGTTGCACCGTGGCGCGTGCCCGCTGTCGATCTCCGTCTGATCGATGCTGTGGCAGTCGACCTTGAACGGCAGGCCGTCGATCTGCCTCCCTCCGAAATGGTACGATATCCGTCCCCTGACCACCACGCTCACCACCAGCACCCTCATCGCCGCCTTCTCCTTGAGGTCCTTCCCGGCCGCCTCCTCCACGACCATCCTTCGCGCCGCCGCCCTCACCCTGATCTCCGACGTCCCGTGCGGCGACTGCCGAATGTCCGGAAGCCGCACCCCCGGGAACTCGATCCCCTCCGACAAGACCTCCGCCGTCATCTCGACGTACCGGAGCTCGACCCGCCCGCTCCCGTTGGTGGCGTTGAGGCGCGCGTCGAACGACGCCGCCGTCAGCGTCTCCCCGTCGGTCGTGATGTTGCTGACGTCCAGCCGCTGGAACCGGACCTCCGGGAGGTTCGACTGGAGGAAGGCGAAGTAGATGCCGCCGCCGAGGAGGGCCACGGCGAGGAGGACGGCTGTTGCGATCGAGGCGCACGCGCAGCACGAGCCGCAGAGGTGGCGGCGGCGGCGGCTGGCGGTAGTGGTGCCGCCAGAGGAGGCGGCGGAGGAGAATTGGGACTCGGCGTCGAAGTCGGAGATGGGGGGACGGGCGTGGGGTTTGTTGTTGCTGCCGGTGANCGAGTTTCCATGTTTCAATGGTCATAAGGCAGTTCAATTAATTTGTGTTGAGAAATAAGTAATGGGAGAAATCAAGGCCTTATCAAGGGAAATAAACTCATTCATTGGGTAACATACGGTTTTGCTATGAAGCCAACAGTTGGCTCCATAGTGGAACCAACCTTCTATATACAACAAATAAACCTACTATATTAATAAAATTATATTAATGTTATTTAAGTAATTAGAGAATATGGTAAGTTTATTTGTTGTATATAGAAGGTTGGCTTCATAGCAAAACCGGGGTAACATATTATTGGTCCGGGAGATTGCTTAAAAATGTCAATACATCATAGTAAAAATATGACTTTAGTAGGACATATCAAATCATAATTATGTATGTGTTAAAAGAAATCGAGCCACACTGACTGCTTATGGCTCTAACAGTTGTATTACCCAAGAATTTGTGTTTCTATATGCACATATGATATTTGTTGTTTCAACTTTCACGAACTGTTTCTGTTTCTCTTGAAGGTCTGGTGCAAACAGAACTTCTTTAATAATACATGCATGGGTTTAGTGATAATTCGTTTCATCTCCTTAACTGAACCAAATCCACGAGGATAACCATGTAATAAATCACAGAGAATATGCAAAAAGAAGCAAGGCATCCAAAAAAATACAGAGAATAATGATAAAAACTTCAAAATAGGAAAAATTATGAAAGGCATCCAATATGATAAATGGCCATACTTCAAGGTAAAATAATGAGAGTGTTCCAGGACAAACAAAGTCACACATGCTACAAGTTTAGTTGCATATTGAAGGGACGAAACATATTTAAATTCCATCTGTAACTTTTACACGGAGATCACTTGTAGAATTCAAAATCTGTGTCAGGTTTCTTCACGTTAGATCTGTAACCCTTCTCGAAATCTTTGGGGAGTATTACGTACCGGTTCTTCCTAACAGCAAGCATACCTGCCTCCTGGCATATAGCCGCAATCTGAAAATTTAATTACAAAAAAAAAATTAAGAAAAAATAGTGTTCAATCTTCAATGGCATGAAATGAACATTAAACCAACATAAAACAAAGACAATAACTAACCTCAGCAGCACTGATTTTGTCTGGGCGAGAGACATAGTCCTCCAAATCCACCTCATCGCTCAAGTTCATCTTAGCAGTGCAAACCTGCAAAGGGAACAAGTTTCATTTACGGTATGTTCAGCAACGAAAGGAATTTAGGGATTTTCCCAATAGATTGACGTTTGCCTCTTTTTATTTATTTTATTTATTTTTTAGACAGGGAGAGGTGGGATTTACGAGAAGAAAGAGCCTATATAAATGTTCAAGCTTCACCTGAAAGACGAGCCTTTTTTGGCGCCTGTCTGGCAATGGGAACTCAATCTTACGATCTAATCTTCCAGGACGAAGAAGGGCAGGATCCAATGTGTCGGCCCTATTTGTTGCCATGATAACCTTCACGTTAACGGTTTGATCAAATCCATCCATCTGCAAGGACAAATCATAATAAATCACTCCATGTAAATAATATCGGATGACCACTCTATAATGCAAGGCAGCCAACTCGAAAATAATTAGTAAAGCAAACTCGCACATCAACCAGGATTTATCAAAGTTCTATATTGAAGATTAAAACTTTACCTGATTCAGCAACTCCATGAGAATTCGTTGAACCTCTCTGTCAGCTCCGGTTTGAGCATCAAACCTAGCAGTAGCAATTGCATCTACCTCGTCGACGAAAATAATGGCCGGAGCATTTTCTTTCGCGAGACGGAAAACATCACGAACCATCCGCGGACCCTACACATATTGTCGCAATTATATTAACAATCAACATAATGGCTTCTACAGGCCTGTCATTGTAAGAAAAATAGTAACAGCTACAAAAACCTTCAGCCAACATAACTACGGTTTGGATAAATTGCAGGGTGTCGAAAATGATACAAGAGCCTGACATGGCTATATGCGTGTAATAAGAAGTAAAATGACAGGACGAGATAAACACAGCCCAGGATTGCGCGAAGTTGTAACATAAAAGAATTATCACCTTTGTACGCACGTATGCATACAGTGAGTTATTTAACATACCTCTCCCAAGTATTTCTGAACAAACTCTGAGCCAACAACTCTAATGAAGGATGCAGTAGTGTGATGAGCAACGGCTTTTGCAAGCATGGTTTTTCCAGTGCCAGGTGGACCATAGAGCAAGACACCGCGAGGAGGATCGATGCCAATCTGTTGATACAGCTCATGATGAGTTAAGGGCAATTCTACAGCTTCCCGTATTTCTTGCTTTTGAATATCACATCCTCCAATATCCTGATGATAGCACCAAGAGAAAATTAAAAAAAAAGTCCCTTTTGTTTAAAAATATAATGAAACAAATTCATTGCTGCCACAAACTCGTATCAAGTGGATGCAGGAAATTACGATAACTTTATGAATAAAAAACCATGTGAAAGCAATCCTCTGCAAAGAGTGGATGCATGAGGCAACAAGCATATTTCATGATCACTCAATCTCTAGAACAACAAATCCCTGAAAACTCTTGATACAGAGCAAATGCAATTTGGATAATTCGAAACTGAGCAGATTCAGTGGAACAAGGAAGTTGGAGATATTTGCGTGAGGTCGGCTACAGATTCGTCAATTAAACTAAATGAAAAAATAATAAGACGACAAAACATAGGAAGAAAAGATAATAATGAACCAAATTAACAAGTTTGACGTAAATGAAGGCATTGATAGTTAAGGGGATATGAAACAAGAATGAAGGATCAGTTAATGTAGATAAACTAGCCATTCCAATGAGACTATACCACATCTTTAGCAATAAGTTATCTTGTCATAAAAACTTAGAAACTCGTTTGCAGGATGACGAACGGAGTGATACTCATATACTGTTGATCATACTAAAATCATACATTGTTTACCTTATACTAATCATCATTATTATCAAACATCAAGTTAAGTTATCTAGTAATTTCCAATTAACAAAGATTGTCTACTATAACCAATCGTGCCTTCTTCCCAAAGATTATCTACTATAACCAATCATGCCCTCTTCCGCTGGGTGAAATAATCATCCTGCTTGACAAAGCAAATTGTCAATCCTCACGTTCAACACTTTTCCCGTCTTCACGCTTATTCCAAATTCCTAGATTGGGTACTGAACTTACTCAAACTATGGCAGAGTATCCCAAATCACTTCCAATAAGTTCATGAATTGATTACAAATAGGGCAAAAATACTATCAGTACCAAATCAAAGCCAAGCTCCGCAATTCCCGAGACAAAAGAACAATTAACAACTGAAACTCACATTGTAAGTAACGTCGGGCTTCTCGGACTGGCTGAGGAGTGAAATACTCGAGTCGGCCTCAGGCGGGAGGACATCAACAAGGGCGAAGCGCAACGGAGGCGGATGGCTTGAGGAGCTCGCGGTTGATTGTGCTCAGGATCCGAACGTAGTAATTCGACCCGGTGGTGGACCCGACGATGGCGTTGTTCTGGTCTATCATCTCCATGAACTGACCGATGACCAGCGGAACCGACTGGATCCTCGTCACCTCCTCCTGTGACCGCAGGAGCTCGCGGCGGAGGTTCTTCACCTCGTCCTTGACGTACTCGTCCTGTATTTCGGTGAACTCGTTCTGGCGCTGGAGCGATTTGAAGCAGGAGTAGAGATCGTCGTCGGGGGAGGACGGGTCGTTTTCAAGCTTGTGGCGGGTTGGTGGAGGTTCTGATGAGAAGGATTTGGCATCGACAGCCATAGCTGTGGCGGCGGCGGCCATTGCCGGAGAGATTTTGACGGTGGATGGGGTAAAGGGACGTAGGAGATGTACAAAATAAATAGGGAAGAAGGTTTCTGTCGACTTGGAAAAGAAGATTTGTAGGAAAAAATATTATTATTCTTTAACTTATAAATGTTGAATTTTTATAATTATTACTTTTTGTGCTTAGTGTTTTTACTTATTTTTTTTATGCTTCAGAATTTTATTTATTTATTATGCTTAGTGTTATTATTTTTATGCCTAGACCGGCTAGACGGCCTTTCATGTATGTAATAATCAAAGTGCAGCATATTTCTTTTTTCATTTTTTCTTATTGATTTGTTTAATAAGAAACTGCTATTTCTTTCTAGTGGAATGTCCAAGAGGCAGAAGAATAAGACTTACTACAACTACAGGTGATTTGTACGAGATTTGTGTCTGCCACTGGAAATTCTCAACCATCATTCTCCTAACGAGTCAGAATTGGAAACCCAAAATGTGGACTGCTGCTAAAATCAGAATTTGAAACCCAAAATATTGTGTTAATAATAGTTAAGTTGGTTTTCCTAATTTATTTGTTTGTGATGAAATAATTTATGGATCAACATTTTGGAATATATTATTCTCAAAATCAGAAAAAAAATTGTTTTTAATGAGAAAACACAAGAGAAAAAAAAAATAGTAAACAAAAGGGTCCAAATATTAAGGGCAACATATGACTAAATCAAAAATTTCATAACAAAATATTCTCATCATACGTTAAACACTTTGAACATTTCAGTTACTCCAAAAAACCACCTACTTAGCAAGAGAACAATAAACCAAAAAGCTTCTTCACAGATCTCTTACAACATCTGAGAAAATTTCATCACAAGTAATGATTAATCTTCTTTAATTTTTATTCATTCTTGAGATACTATGAATAATCTTACTCTTAAAAAATTGTGTTCAACCAGTCACTGTATTTATGTGCTCTATGCTTTCATTTGTATTGGTTGATTAATTACTTTTGCATGGATTATTTTGTTGTAGTTTAATTTATGCATGCATGTATGCTAATTATTTCCTTAAATTAAAAAAGTTGGTTCTAATTTTGATGGGATTATTGTTGATTTAGGAAGAGTTGATTGAAGATGGATCCTGAGTATTCTGAGACAGAGGAAAGGCTCAATGAAGAAGATGAACACGGCGAAAAATTTCATCTCTTTGGCCGCCAAAAACCGGTACACTCAGCCCTTGGCGGCGGCAAACGTATGTATATTTCCAACGATTTAATAATTTTGTTTACATAAGAAAAAAAAAAATCAGTTTATTTTGTATCAAGAATAAACCATATGTGCGAGGAGAAATTAATTACAAGAATTACTCNAAAAGAGGTATAATTGAAGCACTGACACTTACATAGGATGCAGTTTTCAAGAACTAAAAACCAAAATAATTATTAATGCAATTCCTGTCATTAGGAAAGAGATTTTTCCTAAGTTGTAAAATAACTTCTGCACAAACTATTATAGCTTAGGAATATTATAGGATGGCTTCTTGTTTCCAAAAGAATCAGGTGTTTTTGTCCCACATAAATGTATCTTCAACTCAAACTTTATATATGCCTTTCATAAATACATTCTTTTATTCCTCACAAGACTTTTCTACACTTTGCTTCAATAGAAGTCTAGAATCTCTACATTAACAAATTTCATGAAACTTTTTATGTCTTTCTATTTTTCTTTTTTTCTTTTCTTTTTCTTTTTTTAAATAAATTATTTTTTTTCCAGCTGCCGATGTGATTCTATGGCGGAACAAGCAGATATCGGCAGCATTGCTGGTGGGATCGACCGTGATATGGCTACTATTCGAGTGGATCGGTTATCGGCTAATCCCTTTCATTTGCCACTCTCTCATACTTTCATTGGCCTCGCTCTTCTTATGGTCGAACCTTTCATTCTTCGTGAACAAGTCGGTTTTCCTTCCTTCCTTTCGAGTTTCGACTCCGGCAAAAATGCATTTTTAGTCCTATTGGTTTAACGTTATAGCAATTTTAGTCCCAAGATTCCAACTTTTTGCCTTTTGCTCATGTGATTTGATATTGTGATGCAATTTCAGTCATTTGAGGACTGAAATTGCAACAAATTTTAAATTACATGATTGAAATCACAACAAAATTTTAAATTACAGGACTTATATTGTTGATCGAAAATCTTGGAATTTAAGAATTTGTTGCAATTTTAGTCATTTGAGGACTGAAATTCCAGCAAAATATCTCAGGACCAGAAAGCAAAATGTTGAAACTTTGGTACTAAAATTGCTATGGCCTTAAACCAGTAGGACTAAAAATGCAAATTCGCCCTTTGACTCCCCTCTTTTCTTCACTCACTCTTAACTTGAGAATTTAGATGACAAAATAAAAAAAACGTACCATAACTAAAGAATTTTTTGAGACGGTGCATGTCAAAGTTGTTCATAAACAGGCAAAAGCAGGCAAAGTGCGAAAAATCACGGGTGTTTTTCGCAGTTTAAACCGAGCCTTGAGACTCTATTTCCCTATGCAGATGTTCTTAAATCATTACATAGTAACTATTTGGTGTTAATTAAAACTTTTTGTTTGGTTGTCTCTTTTGGACAGATCTCCTATCAATTTCCCAGAGATTGTACTGTCAGAGGACATGTGCAAAAATGCTGCTCTCTTACTAACTGACAGATCGAATGAGGCACTTAGTTTCTTCTTGGGAGTGATTTCTGCAAAAGATTTCAAGAAATTTCTTACCGTAAAATCTCTTTTGTTCACTCTCTTCGAACTTATTTCGAGTTAAACTTTCAATCATGAAACCTTGTGAATGTGATAATATTACAGGCAATATTTGCACTGTGGTTTGTCTCGGTTTTCGGCAGCTGGTTCGACTTCCTGACTATTGTATACATCAGTAAGTGCTCTCTAAAAAAAAATAAAAAAATAAAAAAATAAAAAAAAAAGGTGAAAAAGCAATGTTTCAAAATTCAAACTAAAAACCCCCCTTGAGATTTATGTGAGATTTTTCTTTTCTTCCTTCTCTAACTTTTTTTCTTTTGAATTTTGACTGAAGTTTTTGTGATGATACTGACAATGCCATCGTTATACGAGAAGCATGAAGATCGAGTGGATAACTATGCCCTGAAGGCAAAGGCCAATCTCAAGAGACAATACAGCCAATTGGATGAGAAGGTCCTACAGAAATTACCGAAAGTTCCTTTCATCACAGACAATAAGCAAAACTGATGAAGCTACTTGATCTTTTTATCCCGAATATCCATAACAAAACTATCTTTTAGAACAAGGGTTATTATAATATCTATGTCTTTTTACATTCCTTTTGAGGATAACCGGCATTGAACTTGCGAATGTTGGTTGACTTTATCTCCATTTCACTCAGGTGGCAAGTACCCAATGAACAACATTGTCTCATCATGGCTAAATTGTTCGATTTGCTTTACATTATCGCATCATGTGAATAATATAAGAGCTTTCGGTAACTTAGCTGTCATATGAATAGTTAAAAGTAAAATTACTTGCAGTAATATGGAACAAACCTCAACCATCTTAAGACATGAATTTTATAATTACTTGCAGTAATATGGAACAAAACTTCAACCGTCTTAAGACATGAATTTTTCTCTGCTTACCGCTTTACCGTACAAATGAATTTTACGAACCTCTTAAACTAACAAACATAAGCTAGTTTGCCACACTTACCAAAAAAAATAAAAATAAATAAAAGGGTCGCCACTTTTCTTCATACCTTGGATGTTTTCGGCGGGAGAAAAGGCTCCCACCACCCGTATTCGTATTTGGGATAAGGAGCTGTCCACTTTTCCGGCTTTTCAAATTCGAGATCAACTGGATTGGAAGCTAAAGCTTCTTCAAGATTTTCAGCTTCAAAGCTCTCCTGCAAAACTCTGTCTAGTCTCAACTTCATGAACCTACACACATGTTAATAGAAACCGTTCAAAAAAGTATGTCAAGAGAATTACAATATGAGACGTGAAGTAATGCAATGAACACAAAGGAAACAACGGGCGGTTTACAGAATAAAGTTTTGTATTTTTTTCAGATGCTTAACTTTATCTTCTATATTTCAAGTTTATCTCAAATCAATGATTATAAGGATTGAGTGAACATATTGTTCTCTTTGATTTTACACAAACACACACACACACACACACGCACACACAAAAAAAAAAAAAAAAANTCCCACAGTCACTTCATATATTCAATTTCAAGCCTTTTGGTTATATTTATTCACAAGCATATAATTAATCACTGCCTCCAAAAGAGTAAATTTGAAAGAAGAGCACAAAATGTCACTAAACAAATCATACAACTTACGTAATCCAAGGGCCGTTTGTCGAAACAAGAGCAACGGCTGGCCTCTTTAGCCTCTTGGTAACATTAGGGAACTTGTTCAAAAATTTGGGTTCGATCACGAGCCAGAAATCTTGCTCCTTCTTCCTCTCCCCAAAAAGCCGAAGGCGCTCGGATAAAAGCTCCTTAAAATGCTCCTCCTCATCCAACATGAACTTCGCATTGGCCACGACAAAATGATACTTTTTGCTCCCACCACTTTCTTCTTCTTCTTGTTCCTATTCTCCACAAAATTAAAATTCAAGATTCACCAGAGTCAAATGACAAAAAGATATTTGCCACCAAAAGCACAACTCAATACAAAACATAAAACCCAATTTTCCACCTACAAACCAGCTGCCTTACAAGCATAACAAACACTTAAACATTCAACATTCACATTCAAGACAGAAATACTAAAGCTTCTGTTCACCAATCATTACACGATCGACAATTTTCACAAATTTAATCAAATGGGACAGCAAAAAATGGTGTAAAGAGATGAAAGCTGCACACCTTGGCGGTGGGATTGGAAGAATCGACGGCAGCCACTGATCTTCTGACAGGGGTGGACAGTTTCCTCGTCAAGGGATTTGAAGATTTCAAGATTGGATTTTTAGCAGGTGGGTGTAAGAAAGGTTTGATGGGATTTTGGGCGGGGGGATTTAGCAGCTGGGTACCCAAAGATCCGATGTTCAGAGCTGTTGAAGCTACTAACATGTCTGCTAACAATCAGTCACCTCCCTTTTTCCTGAAAAAAAGAAAAATAAACCAAAGACACTGCTAGCAAATAAACGAGCAAGATCAACCTTTCTTTTTTCTTGAATTTAGCAATGGTGGAAGGAGGAAGAAGATAGAGGATGGAGGAAAAATACAAGAGACAAACAACCAACCTTATCTGCCACTGCCTTCTTTTTCAGCATTCCCCCTTATCTATGCTAGAAATTGATTTTTATTTTTTACTTCCAAAATAGCGTGTGTGTTTTCTTGAAGAAAAATTACTCTCTTTTAATTGCCTTATTGTACTTTTCTAGAGTTTGTCTAATTAAGACTTGATTTCAGCTCGGTTTGTTAATGATAATCGAGTCAAGCTCAAACGAGCTCAAGTCGAGATAAAAGCTTGTTCACACCTCTTTATGTGTTTTATAATTGTTTTTTTTTTTTGGATATAAAGATAAAATAAAATAAAGAAAACCTATGTCGTTTAACGGTTATAATATTATTTTACCTGTAAGGTTGGAAATTAATACATGTTTACTTCAGCAATTCCGTGGCACAAATTCATGGTCTAGAGGTCCTTTGGAGTTTGGAACAACTTAAATGCAACATTCATATTTTGTTAGTTTCTTCATTTGAATTATGGCATTCGAAAGATATTTATATAACATTCATTTATTATATAATTCATCTAGTCCAAAATTCATTACACAAATACAATTTGATCTTACGTTCACAAAATAAATATTTAGCCTAAGCGCTCCCTTACCCAGTTATATTTGTTACATTTCGAACTAAGATCCATTTTGCAATGCTAATAAATAATGTGAAGTACAAATGTCTACTGTTCATGTTTGCATATTTATTTGTAGTTTTGTGTATTCATGATCGAAAAATTTGAATTAACCAGTTTTCAGTTCATCATCTTCTCACAATACCAAATATCTCTACCTAATTTTATTTGCGTAGAGCTCGAAAAACAAGGTTCGCACATCAAACTTTGCTACATTGGGATTTGGGAGTTTGCCCTTGTCGTTTATAAGATCATCCACATCTCTTAACATTCATTCAATCCCAATTTACACTCTCTTTCATCCACATTATCTCCACATCATCTTTCCACTAAACATCTCTCCATTTAAACACACACCCACATTCATTCATTCATTTAAATACAAACATATGGGACCCATTATTCACTTATTCAATAATATTTTTATATTCTATTCTTAATAAAATAAATATAGTTTTTTAATTAGAATACTTAATGTTAAATGATGAAAATACACTAAATATTATTAGATTATAAAAACCATAAATTAAAATTAAAAATGAAAAATAGTAGAACAGGAAAAACAAAAAAAATGGTACAAGAAAATTATAAACCTGAAGTGTGAGGTGTATTTGATAGGCATAAAAAAAATGGGAGATATAAAATATAAATTATTGATACATGTTAACAAGTGTAATATAGATAAAATTTGGATTTATATATAAAATTGAATTAAATATATAAAAAGAAAAAAATAACCAAAATAATTAACTAAAAACAAAAAAAAAAGAAAAAAAATAAAAGCAACAAGAAGTGGCGTTCAATGTATTAAACGGCAACATGGGCCCCCCTAATTAATGGATGACTCACATCCATGTTAAACGCAGGGTGGCCGTTTAAACGCTCACAAAACGGGTGCAATGCGGGTGCCCTAAAGAATGTTTCGCACTTTGAGTTGCAAACGAATTGAGGGGTTTGAGAGATGCTAAACTAAACGAGCTATTCGTGAGCTCAGATCGGCTTATTAGAGCTCGACTTGACTTATTTGATAAATGAGTTGAACTCGCATTCATCGAAAACTCGTTTAGTTAACGATCGGGCTATACTCATTTCGTAAAGGCTTGAATATTTTCATTATCATTATATAAATTTCTATAGTTCAGTTCGTTAACGCCCAAACACGACTCGCTAATATTGATAAACGGATTGAATTGGAGCTTGATTACGAATTCGCTTAATTAACAATAGCTAGATTACTGGCTCGACTCGGCTCATTTACGACCCTAGCAATTTGTGAAAACTTGAGTCAAAGCTCGACTTGAATATAGTCGAGCTCAAGCGCCTTGAACTTGAATATGAAATCGAGTCGAACTTTAGCATGTACTATCTCCATTTCATAATAAGTGTTATTTTAAGAAGTTGCACAATAATTAAGAATTTTTTTTTAATAATAACTCTCTTTAATGAAGATGTATATGTTGGAAAAAAGTGAAGAGTGAATATAAAAAGTCGTAGTATATTTATTAGCTAAATGAGAGTAATAACAAAAAAATATGTACAAAAGATCCAAAACGTCATTTATTTGGCTAATAGTTGATGATATAGCCCTACTTGTGAGTCGGAGTAAAGTATGAGGAGGTTCAAACGAGACTTGAAGGAAGAGCAACCTAAGGAGGTCTAGATGAGACTTGAAGGTCTCTATGACTAACTATTAGGAACTAGAGGTGTTCTGAGGAGACTAAGTAGAGGTCTCTGTGATAAAGAAGGAGCTAGAGGTCATCTCGACCCGCTAGACCTGCTAAAGGTCACCAGAGGCAATCTCGACCTACTAGAGGTCATCTCGTCTTGACTTGACAAAAAAAGAGATAGAGGTTCCTGCTGCAAGCATTGTTTTAAATAGCTCGCTATGTATCTCGCTATTGCTAGCTATATAGCTTTTTTTTTAAAAACGCGACGGTGGCCATAAGTATTTAGCGTTTTTCCCGAAAAGCTTACGCGAAATGTTGAAATGACATGCTTTTTTACGCTATTTTGTGTTATTTCACGCTATTGTGCGCTACATTACGTTATATTTCTGCAATGATATTTAAATAATAAAATATTCAAAAACTCATATTTTTTAGAGATCGGAGTCATATTTACAAATGACAACTAAAAACTAAAAATTTTGATAATGATTTCAAATTAAAAGTTTGAAATGCAAAATCCTAAGTTCAATAGTGCAATATCTATCGATTCATTTTTGTTATATCATTTTATTTTTCGATATTTGAAATTTAAATAAAGAATAAAAAATTCATACCTAATGGTTAGAATTAAGTTGTAGTTATATAAAAAATAATAATTAAAACGCATATAATTAAAATTATACTATGATCTACCCCATTATATTTTTGTTGTTTGTTTTTACTTTTTAGTATATTAGATTTTTTTATTTAAATATTTATATTATGATATTTATATTTGTGAGAAATAATTTTTAGATGTTATTTTTTAAGTCATTCAAATACTATGATAGTTTTTGTATATGCAAATATAAATGTAAAATTTTTATAAGAAAAAAATTATACCCAAATAGCTTACGCAACACGCAACGTTATTTACGCTACGCAGTATAAAGACCAAAACGCGACACATTACGCTATTCGCGTTTTAAAACACCGGCTGCAAGACGTCTCCGCAACTAGAGGTCTATGTGACTACAAGAGCATGATCTAGAGACAGTAAATGTATATAAGAAGGAATCTGATGACTCAAATGTGATTAAGATACAAGTAAGATCAAATCTCAGGCAGGCTAACCGAGGGAAGGTATTTCCACGGGACTGATGTACAACCCTAACCCTCTTCCACATACATTACAATTCTAGATTACAGAGCTTTATCTTCTGTTTACTTCCGGTGTTGGGTTCTTGCAGGTATTCGCGGCGGTTCAGACAGATTAGAGCTCATCTCATCCGGTTCACTCCAGATCTACGAAGGCAAATTCGGACAATTAACATATTTGTGCTTTGAACTTAATTCGATAAAATGCTTTGCTCTTATCTTCCTTTCTTTGTAAATGAAATTGTCAAATGAGTTTCTAATTATAGTTTAAGTGCACAAATCTCTTTATTGATTTGTCCTTTATTTTCTTAGTTGCAGAATCTATGAATGTAGCATTACGATGATTTAATTATTAATATGAACACTGACAAAAAGTTGAGGTAAGCTTTCTATGAGAATGATATATGTAAATTTTAATTTAAAATTAAAATTTACATATATCATTCTCATAGAAAGCTTACCTCTAACTTCCCGACAGTGTTGATATTAATAATTAAATCAGTCATTCGTAATGCTACATTAATAGATTCTACAATTAAAAAAAATAAATGACAAAACAATAAAGAGATCTAAAGAGATCTGTGCACTGAAACTATAATTAGAAACTCAATTGCCCATTCCATTTACAAAGAAAGAGAAAAAAGAAAAGGAGAAAAAATGAAGATAATAGCAAAGCTCATTATCGAATTAAGTTCAAAGCACAAATATGTTAACTGCCATTCTTTCAAATAACTAAAGCAACAAGCGGGTCAATTCAACTTTCAGTTAATGCAACCTACAATGAAGCAGTTAAGTATAGTTGGTTCATTGGTAGTTTGAAGATAACTGTAGCAGTTAAGTATAGGTGGTTCATTGGTAGTTTAAAGATACACAATACAACGACATAATATAAGTTTAAAATGAATACATTTTCTTCCTTTTATTTTTGAATACACTACTCATGAACACGGGCACAAACTCCTATGAATTAAAGAAATAAAAAAAAAAGTTTAAGTGTAACTATTAAATCTAATTAGAGTTAAATAAAAAGATAATCACATAATGTAAATATTCTTTAATTCGATAGATAACAATTGCATACCTCTAGTTCAGCAGCTATATAGGTTCATTTCTACATAATGGTTTTCTTTAGCTAATTCTTTTAGATCAGCTGGGATGTTAGTTACAATTTCTTAATAAAAAAAACAATGTAAAAACAAGCATAGGACATGTTTTCTAATCATTAGCCACACAGGTCTACTGGAAACATGAAAACATAATTGTTTGATTATTGAATCTAACTTGAAATTTGCAGAGAGAGGAATGAATCAAAGAAGAAGAACAAATAAAATATAATCGAGTAGATTGTTTTTAAACTTTTGCTCGATTATGTTTTCTATTCTTCCTTGATTCATTCCTCTCTCTGCAAATCTCAAACTAGATTGAATAATTAAACAGCTTTCATGGTTCCAGTAGGCCTGTATGGCTAATGATTAAAAAGCATGTCTGCTCTACTTTATTTTTACATTGTATTTTTTTTCAGTGATGAAGATGTAACTAACATTCCAACTAATCTAAAAAAATTAGCTAAAGAAAAGCGATATGTATTGAAGAGCATTCCGTAAAAATGGACATATATGTGCTGAGCTTGAGGTATGAAATTGTAATCTAACAAACTAAAGAACATATACATTATGTGATTATCCTTTCTATCTAACTCAAATTAGATTTAGTAATTACACCTTAAACCTTTGTTTATCCCTT